GGCGGGGTGGGTGGGCTTAACATCTCTCCTGATAGTTGTCTTGCGTAAGCTGGCCCACATAGGTGAAGATGGACACAGGTGACCCTAGAGCTGGTGTAATGTCGGTGAATTTTGTCCAACTGTCAAACCAATCTTCCTATTCAAGTTGCATTGGTGAGAACATTTACTCACCAAAAGCTCTGCTAAGATGCCAACGACTGAAAACTCAATTTTTCAGTTGAAATGTTACAAAAGTAAAGAATCGTGCTGGAGATGAAGGAAAGGTTTTTAATGAACGAAGTCCAATTTGGCTTTGTTCATCTCAGAGTTTTTGTTTTAGGAATGGATTTTGTGGCCATCACTGAAAGAACAAATTTTCCAGATTTGATTCCATCCATCAGTTTTGACCACGTAATTGTTCCCACATAGTTCACATTAGTATTAGATAGAGAGTCTAACTATCCAGACACTCGGAAACGACTAGACATAGCCAGTCTTTCTGATTCGTTTTTAGTAAAATTAGTTGCATTTCTCAACAATGAGATATTGAGCATTTGGACAAATATTCTTCGTCTTATAAAGCATCAAATAAAATGAAACACTGAGCACGAGATCCTGTAGTTCATGAGTATTCGGGTTAGAAATGATTTTCCAAATATGTAGAAAATGAATAGATCAGTTAGTTAAAATTCAACTCACTATAACCACACCAATCCGCAGATATGTGTCGTGCATGCCCCGAAATCGATTTGGAAATAATCCGGAACCGTGGGACTCATGCGCGATGGTCTCACCATTTGGGGTCAACTTTAATTCGCCCCCGCTGAAGCTTGCGGTCAATAGGAACTCCATGTTGTACTTAAAGTCGTACGTGTGTGTAGCATACAGGTATAGTTTACTGTTCAGTTCGGAAGCAACAATCCGCTGTGGGGAAGTGCAGGGCAGGAAAAGAGACAATAGGTTACTGATCTTTTGATATCCAATTGGAAGGAACATTATCGATGACACAATGTACTTGATTAATTTCACGTTCAAAATCCATCAAGGACACTTGGTTGTGAGATACTGACTGCTAGTGAGCGTTTACACCATGTTTAACTGGTGCGACAAAAAATCCAGTTGCTTGTTCACCTCATTCATGCATTACACTATTCTATCCGCTAATCACGTTAGGAATGATTCCGACAACATCATCATTTGGAACGAGTGATTCATTCGCACAGAGCTTTTAAAAGTCGATTGTTTAATCCGTATGATGTCACTGTTCTCTCGCTGGATCGTTGCTTAAGCGAATGGTGATCTTGGATATAATGGTGAATGTTTGTAGCAGCTCTGGATGCGGAGGTTCATGTTGCAGGATTATCTGATAGTTATTTGGCCTATTACATGTCAGATTGGAACTGCAGTAGATTGGTGAGTGCTCACTGATGCGTGTGTGGAAGAAAGATTAAAATAATTTTGTAATGCTTTTCTAAATTCTTTCTTTTGCACACTGCCAGACATGTAAAATAAAATAATAATAGTCAGAATGTGCTTGAGAAATGTGTACACTTGCTGAAAATACTGTGATATTTGTTTTGTGCATGCCTGTGGTTGAAAATTGATTTCCAAGACTGATGCCACCGAGCTTGCTACGGAATTCCACTTGATCTCATGTGTCTGTTCGTTTGAGTAATTTGCACCGAATGTTTATTGTTTCTTATAGTTGTTATAACTCCAGGTACAGTGCGGATGAATCTCGTTCACCTTGAGGAAACGTGCTAAGCGAATTCCCGGATCGGGGTAGGATTTCCAAAACGACTTCGTCTACTACGGTGAAGTTTAGTCTCAAAGGTATGTCAGCTTTCGAAATAACACATTTTGATTTGAATTCCTATTCACAATTTGATGCCCGTTTGATGTTGGGATACAACTAATTCAACTTGTGAAAGTATATCCTAATAGCTGTCTCGTTAAGCAAAAAAACTAGTATATCCTCAACATACCGTTGATATAGTAGGTTCAAATTCAGTTCCTTTTTCAGTTTGTTTTCTAGTGATGAGAGCAAGATATCGGCAAGGAAGATTAAGTCAAAAGAAGGATGGATCACACTCCTCTTCAACTAGATCCAAAAGTAAAAGACAAAACTGAAAGTTTAGAAAAAATGGTCTATGCTAGATTAAAGCGATTCTGGAAGAAACACATTTGGTAAATTGAGACGTCGGGGTTCACACATCGAAAGAACGTACGGATTGCCGAAAGTGCACAAACCCTGGGATCCCAACACGGCCAATCCTATCGATGGTTAACTCTCCCCAACAAAAACTTGCGCAACGATTGGCGAAGCTGATTTCTCCAATAAGTACGAAATTGACCAAATACAGACTGAACGACACATTTCAATTAAAAGAAGCAATACCATATGTAGATTATCGTAGTTTTGACTCGTACGATATTACTACATTGTTCACAAATGTCCGGGTCGAGGAAGCTGTGAACGAAGCATGTAAACATGCCAGTGAAATAGGTTTCCTAGCATGTGATTTACAAAAAACATACTGGATTTATGATTTCGTGACGTACAGTTTGTTTCCAACGGAAATATCTATAAACGGGTTGATGATGCTACTATGGGTAGCCCTTTTGGGGCCAATTCTTGCTGATATCTTTCTGCCAACATTAGAAAATAAACTGGANCTGAATTCGACCCCACTATATCGACGGTATGTTAATGAGACATTATCATTATTGCTCGCAACGAAACAGCTATTAGGACATTATTTCACAAGTTGAACTCGTTGCATCCCAACATTAGGCTGACATTGGAATATGCATTGAAATCCAAACTTCCATATGTTGTCTTACTATATGATGCTCGGTTTCTTTATTGCAATAAAGTCAAGCTACTCAAAGTGTTGTTTACAATTATAAACACCAATTGGAATTACAAGTACATTTGCTGTCCACTGCGTTGATCGCAAATAGCTCTATAATGAAAAAAGATACATTTAACCACTCTTTTGAACTTTGTGTGATTTTGCTAATTTTTTAACTTTGAACATAGATGCTATTTTGTCACCTAATAAAACGCCAGGTTTTCCTAAGCTTCACCTCCAACAATTAGGTTATCTAACATGTTTACCTCATTCACAACAACTATCGACTACGGTGTTCCTGAGTCAGAAGCAAAGCCATTCCGTGAAGACCAATGTTCCGAAGGGAGCAAATTAAATGTTGTTAATTAGCTTGTGTGTAAATGGTTTTGTACCAACCAGGGCTTGCCAATCTCACAAGTTGAGCAACCAAAAACGGGGTGGACAGTAAGAGCATATTGACTCACGTCGTACATCAGATTGCGTAACCGGACTCCGTAAGTGAACGTTTGATTTGTCTCACATGACAATGATTCCTCGGCCGCGAACGAGGGTTCTTCTTTGACCAAACCGACATAAGCTTTGCTGAGACTGAAGACAATGAATCCAGCAATTGTGAGGCGTTCCTATCCGATGATCAGGTGGGATTGGCGAAGGGAGAAATCGGTGAATCCGTTCGATATTTGAAATAAATATATTTACATATTAGGCGTGCACTTCTTCAAATGTGAACCATTTAGAAAAGAGAGGGCGGGGATAGGTTACTGGTTAGATTGTTTCCTTCATGGATTAGGATTCCCCAGGAATGGGTTTCTTGTCAAGCTGAAAGCTGTAAAGATAACAAAAGTTGATTGAATGTATGTAACTACACCATTAGGTAATGAGCGTTGAATGTGAGGGTCGAAGAAACAGTTTGGTTATTCCATTAATGACCGTTGTAGATTTGCGTAGCGGCGGTCAACCTCGAAATTGAAAAAAAACGATCAGGTTGCCACATATCTCTAGACAGTCTTTACCTATACTTAAACTCCTCATTGAAATCTTCTTAGATATGGTTGCTAATGCATTTTAGTTATATTTTAGAATAATTTCTGACGCCTCGTACGGTCATGCCGAGTAGCACCTCGTGTACACATGATTGGATAGTACGATTGTGGTATTTGATATTACACGATCGTAATTAATGGATGTGAATGCATATAAACATATTTTATTAGAAGCATATGAATGACTAAGATATATATATATATATATCATGTCTGAGTTCAGACTGTAAGCCAAGTAAAACACGGTACAATTATCTTTATAACAAATTGAAAGGTCTGTGATTTTCTAGGGAGCGGGATTTGGCCAGGTTGCCTAGGCCGAAAAGGTGAATTTTCTTGGGGAATTCACAACTGGAGCCTTGGGCTACCCAAAGGATAACCCGGAAATCAGTGAGGCAGTGTGTGAAAGCCGCAATCCATTGAAGTTCGCTATCCAGTTTATCGGATTATACTCACCTTGCGACGGAGATGTGGGTGCATGGATGAAATTTAAACGCTGCAAACACTAAGCACGAGATGTAAAGTATGCCATTGCTTGATCACAAGTTATGGAACATACTGTAGCAGTTTCCACAATCACTACCAGGTGACATATGATTCACGATACGTCCTGAAACAAAAATATCTATGTTCTCTAATATTGCATAATCATATCATTAGAGGTTCTTACAAAAAGGATGAAGAATCAGTAGTCTGATTCAGTTCGCCTCAAAACAATCAAAAAAGTGACTGTCCTTGTTCGATATTGCATAAGAATTCACAAATATCCAGCGCCTTACTGGTATTTCTTTGGTGGATCCACTTAAACTTTTCACGTAGACTTCTTCCTCATATGTGTACAACCCTTTCAACAAACTCAGGGCATAGTCCAATGGAAATTGTCGTATAAGGGCAACATTAGCTCGTCTGTTGTTGCAATTTCCTCTGCCAGATAGGGATTCGGTCAGTACTTTGGTGATTAGATACGGGGCCTGGTCGGAGAACTCCACAATCACCCAGAATTGGTCGATATTGAGCATGCATGTTTCCGAAATCTGTTGTGAGAGCGAAGGAGATAACGAGTGTTCGTCAAAACAAATGATGATTCGATAAAAACGGGTTATCTGTTTCTATCCAACAATTAGAGCAATCTGATATCCCATGTGCACCAATGTAAGATGTCACTTGTGATTAACAGTGGTATTCTTTTTTTTGTCCAAAGGCACCAGGTACTGGATGTATATGTTTTTTGTTTTTATTATTGTTGTTGTTATTTTTCTCGTACATTGTCTGTTGTTTGATGAAGTTCGAAGATAAACAAACTAGCACCTTAATTGTTTAAGAAAGCAATATAATAGACAAACTGGTTTTCATGGCTTCATTTGGAAACCAAACACGAAAAAACAGTTCTAACTGGAGTGAAAATCGATGTGAGAAAATGGAGAATGAAACAGATGAACACCGCTCGTCAAATCCAAGGGTCTGTGAATTTGCATGCGAATCACGAAAACAGTGTATCTGTGACGGAAATGATCGGCTGATGAATGACCAGGCCTTCTCCCAAATTGTTTCTGAGCACAGAAAAAATTAGGGTTCTTATTCCCTATACATCGCGATCGTTGCTGAGTCAGCAACTAATATCTGACCTCTTCTAGTAGCAAATGACCCTCTGGCTGAGCAAACGGTTGCGAGAATGATTCACTCGTAAGAAAAACGCCGTTAGTCTAGTTTATTTGACTTACTTTCACCTTTTCAACCCTATCAGCCCCCCTCCCCCCCCCCGGGTGGAAATTTATCGGTCTAACTCACGAGACCCGGTGCGCAAGCGGAAACAAATTGATGAGAGCAAAATGAAGTCGTGTTCGTTCCTGTACTACTGTTTAAATGTGTTTGTAACATGAATTATTGGGAGAAAATTTTGTACAATTCAGTTCAGCAACTCGATGTATGCATGACTGAAACTCGGGAATAAGGATCCACTTGTTCTCTCTGCTTAAGTGTGAATTCTAAACGAAATTAAAATATTTTCATGAGAGCAAGAAGAAGCATCATGATCACAGGATTTGTTGAATTCAAATATTTCGTGGTAATCTCATCAGCTGTCTACAGACATGCAGATCACATTTGGTTAAAAGACTGACAGGTTTGGAGACAGGTGAAGACACACAGGGAAGAGAAATCAATCAATACGAAGGTCAAAGGTCACTAACCTATCACTGTTTTAACCAAACGTGATCCGAATGTATGTACACAGCTGATGAGATTATCACGAAATAGTTGAATTCAACACACTCTGTGATCATGATGCTTCTGCTTGTTGTCATGAGAATGTTAAAGTGAACTGGTTGCATAAACTAAAATAGACAATGGTTTTTCTTCCGTGTGAGTAAAGTGGGTGTTTAATTGCATACTCTTTATTTACACATAACTTCAAATCACACTTTATGGGTGGGGACTACAAAATTCCGCCGTACTGGATTTCTTGAAATTTCTTTTTAATTCCTTTTTTATTTATTGAATATTCAAATGTATAGTCAACTTTTAAGAAGTGGACTGCGGCCATACAAAGGATGCCTGGAGAGATACAGAAATTAGGAAGACGGGCGGCAGTGGAAAGGCTCGAATCCGGGACATCCGAGTCACAATTTGGTGTTCGAACCACTTTGCCACCAGCGCACACTCCAGTGTCACACATGGATTAAATTATTCGAATCAAACTTCCTTCATCACTGAAGTCTTCTCTCACGGACGCTTGACTCAGCAACGTAATGAGATAATTAATTTAAAGTTCTGTTCAATTGCACTACTAATATCATTATCTATGAAAAGTAACTGAACAAACACTGCATTTGGCATGAATATACACTTGTCAAGTCTCACTCTGCATTTAATTAGTTACTGAAAGAAGTTTGTAGGATAATCAACAACACACAAAAGTTCTTTTTCTGAGATCAGCAATATAGTAGGAATCCCGCGATCAATTGATTGAACGTCTTGCCAGTGTCCTTTTTGCCCAGTTGGGATAAAACTAGGTAGAGGATAATGCTGGATTTTCCCCATCTATCTGTGGCAGACCGAGGAGCTAACTTGAGCAAAAAGAAAGTGTGCATTCCCCAGTCCGTAGTACTTTCCCGTTTCTACGTCCTACCCAACAAATCTTCCTGAGACATTCAATACGTTACAGGTATTGACGTTGCATCGGAAGAATGATGTCTCAGAAAGCATTCTGAGAAGGGCTAAGGCGTTCGGTGTTTTGGCCTCGGGAATGCGTAATTTTTGCAGGAATTTGTGGTTCAGTTTTCCCAATGCCTGGCTTTGTTTCGAAAATTGTGGGCTCAAATTGTGCAAATGTGTATGTACCAAACTCTAGAAGGTTTCCACGGTTGACCTTTTCTTGCTAAACCAGTAGTGGAACAATGGAACAAACTGCACTGACTTAGTTGCAAAGTGAAACTGAGACTGCTTGTCTGGTGGCTTTTACGAAACTTTCTTTCATTTAATGCCGATAGAAAACGATAATTCGGTGCGTTTGAGCACTTCAATAGTTCTGTTTACATAATGATAGTGAGAAACATTCATCAAACATCATGAAAAACGGTTTATATAATATTAATGCATAAATAAAATAATGCTCAGATTTTGTCGGTGGATGCTGTAATAACTGTCCTGATTTGTTCAATATATTGATATAAAAAATGAAATCAAGTGCCCTAAAAGTGAGATAAAGTTTCAGTTTTTACAACCATTAACCATGCACTTTCGTGCGCCGGTTTTGGTTGCTGTCTCTTGGTTGCCCATTTGGATAAAAAAGCGAAATGAAGATTGGAATTTCGAAGCAAATTCAAGCGGAAGATGGGGAATGCATATACAGTGGTGTTAAAAAAATAACGAGTAGATGCACGAGCGCCACTGTTTGCGACACCCATCTTGTTCGATGTTATATGTACGCGACCGATGAGAGTATACGAAAGGAATTCCTCTCGCTGTTTGTTTTCTGATTTGATTGTTCAAATTGATTACGGGATATACTCATGTGCTTTTTGAATGAGTCAGATGATCAATTAAAGAGTAAACCAACTAGATGAGGAAATAATACATTGTAGGAAAACACCTGTTATTGTACGTGAACGATATTTTTACCAGGGAACCTGGATAAATAGAAAAACAACAAGATTTTTTGATGAATGATGCGCTCTCTTACCACACTTGTGACGCGTTCGATGTCGTGGTTCAAAGCAAATAGCTCATAATAGTTGGAACTCAGTGGCGCGTCACTGTCGTTTAGGGCTTTCCTCAACCAGATCAGATAGGAAGCCAGTGAATTGGAATTTGTATGTGGGTTTCGCTCGCCATCGTTTAGACCTTCATCCAAATGAAAAACATGTGTTGATGGGGTCGCAGAAGGTTGGCCTTCTAGGATCGAATCAGTTTCGCTTAACAGCACTTTGAGTGGAATGACTGAAAGAGAGTGAAAGAGAGTGGAAATAACAATGAATTAGAAAGAGAGAATAAGGGTGCTAATAAACCGAGGAAGTTGTTGACAAAGAGTTCCGGAGATCGAAACCCCTCAACTTCCTCACTTCTGCATTTTCCCATATAGCCTTCGTATGAAAGTTGATTCTACAATTGTATGCTCGACGAATAAAAAAGTAAGTGAAAACATTTATTATTATTATTATTATTATTATTGAAGTCCATGTAACCATATCCTCGGATGGGTAGACAAAGCAGATAATGGCAAATATTAATTGCTATAAGGATTACTTTCTGATAATAGGAAGTAAATTCATGGTGAAATAACCATTACAGCGATGACATAATGTTTTGATAATAATGTGCAGTAAAGTAGGTAAAATGTTATAATGAACTACAAAACTCTGCAATTGCGTACTGGGGTAACCGTCTTTTATGGTCATTTCAACCACTTTTTGTAAATAGGGGTTTATAGAATAGCACAAAACCAAATAACTCTGGTTCTGACTAGATCAAACTCACGAGAATGTTTATATCCAACTTCTCCCTTTGCCCTTTTTTACTGACTGCTAATAGTACCAAATAACACTTTAACTGTACTATTGTCAGATGGTTGAAGTTTAAAACATTAGTTCAGATTCTGAGTTTTACTTCACCCCCGTTTGTTAAACAAATTTTGAATGATATTCATTAAAGATGACTTCTGAACCAACTTCCGTCGATAATTTGGGGTCTATCCTGGGGTGAGCTAAATCAAACGATGGCAACACCAATGATCTACATGTGAAAGGCTCCTTATTCCAATCCCGGAGAGAATTGTGGAGTTGTATCATTGATGAGGTCTAACGAGAGCAAAATTCAGGTTTGGAACTTCCCTGAAAAAGAGGTTGACTATTGACAAACTGTGTATTGGTTAGGTAGAGGAATTCCAGTAGATATGTGGTCACAATAAATAATAATTTGGCATGATCTGCTGGTCAGAACTAGTTGTGAATTGGAAGTGAGAAAAGGTTACACAAAGAGGGGAATAAAGATAAGGTACATGTGTGTTTGCTGAATAACTTGCTTGAATTGAAAGGTGAAACTCCTGGCTTTGACGAAGAACTTATCACCGGGTTTAGACAACATTCATCCACAAGCCCTTATCACCCTGGCAAGTCACATAGCCGATCCTTTAAGTGAGCTATACCAAAAACTGTTCGAAGATACCGTGCTTCCTGAGGTGTGGAAAAACGGTGTCATTTCACCAATTTACAAAGGTGGATGACGTAGTGACCCAGCCAACTACCGACCCGTCACTCTCCTTCCAAAATCATGGAATCTATTATTGCAGATTTGGTAATGGATCATTTGGAGAAAAATGACTTACTATCGCCAGTCCAGTACGGATTTCAAAAAAATATCGTTCATATGCAACTGACTTGATTTTGGCTCGGGAAGACTGGACTCACGCTGTAGACCAAGGTCAAGGGGAAGATGTCATTTACCTGAACTTCTCCAGAGCATTTGATAGAGTAAATCATCAAATACTGATACGGAAGCTGTATAATTATGGAATCCGTGGACTCGTATCTGGTTGGATCGAGGAGTTTCTTCGCCTACGCATCGTGTCAGTTAGTGTTTTCGATTCACTTTTTCATCCAATAGATTTCAATCGTGGGGTTCTGTACTAGGCTCACATCTTTTCTTTCCCTTTATAAATGATCTTCCAGACGTCCTCGGGCCACAAACTCTGCTGTTTGCGGACGATGCCAAGTTATGGAGGACAATAACAAAACCGGAAGATTCATTTGATCTCCAGAACGCCCTTGACGAAGTCCACAGATGGTCTGTCTCCAATGATATGGAATTCAACATCACCAAATGTAAGATTTTATCACTACGTCAGCCTGGTCGTTATTCCTGCACTCTCGGACACGAAACTCTGCCTCATGCTTCATCTGAGAAGGATCTGGGAGTGGTTATTCGTGCAGACTTGAGTTTCTCCACAAACTGTTCCAGGGCACCATCCATGTCAGTAAAACAGTTTGGACTGCTCAAACGTGTTTTTGGAGCGTTTGAGCCGGCGTTGGTTCCACTTCTGTTAGCCACATATATCCGTCCACACGCCAAGTACTCAATTCAGGCCTGGAACCCATGGCTGCAGCGAGATCGGAAGGCACTTGAACATCCACAGAGAATGGCTACCAAGATGGTCAAAGGTCTACATTCCAAGACTTATGGCGAAAGATTTCAGCTCTTGGGGCTATACTCGTCTCAATATCGTCAAATCAGAGGCGATATGATCTTACTGTAACGGATTTTCCAACAGCCCAACCATCAATCTGTTGGTTCTATCAACCAATGTTCATCTCAGAGAGCATCCATTGACGTTGGTACACCAAAAGAGTCGTCTCAACTGCAGACGCCATTCATTTGCAATCAGAGTGTACAGCAAATGGAACTCTTTACCACCTCATGTGGTCTGTGCGCCAACATTAGTACCTTTCAAGCGTCAGCTTGATGACGCTCTGGCAAACATTATGTTTCAACACCCAACTACATAATATATTCTCCTGTGCTCATCAAAACATTACATAATTATTTTACTTTCATGAACTAACTGTGATCTTGTGAATCGTGTTCCGAACCAAAGTGTAAACACCCTATGGGATTTGATAAGCGAAGTCTTTGTAAGCTTTTTCCCATAATAAAAAAAAGAATTTTGAATTTGAATTAAACTTTCATAAACTGGATCTGAATCAGATTAACGTTTATTTTTCTAATTGATGAAAGCTCTCATAACGCATAGTTAATTTGTCGCAGTGAAAACGCACGGGTCATATTGATAGCTGAGGTTATCTGAAGTTAGGATCCTGTTAATTGCTCTAAAACACTTTACTACGTAGGCCTTTTACCCTAGAAAAGGTTTTTCCGTATAAAACCTCGCCGAAATTACACCTTTTAGAACAAGCGAATAATTGGCCTTGAGCACGTATCTTTGTTCTAATCGGTACAAAATAGACAGTACCCCTGAAATGAATGTGTATGGATATCAATAAAGTGATTTATTTCGATTTCCCACAGTTACATTTCGTTTACTACTTTTCCTTTTCTCCATTCGGGACACTTTTCATTCTATCCAAAAGACGACCCACGCTAGAGGCAAACCTTGACTTTAACAATCATGATGATGATTATAATATTGTTGTCCTATTCGATTTGAAGGTCATTCAAGAACGGAGTAAATCCACGCTAGGTTTTGATTGCCTTCGTGCACTATAGCAACGGTTTTGCTGATTCCCTATCGGCTTGCAAATGTGTTTATACTGGTTAAGACTATGGTTCCAAGCAATGTTCTGTGTTGTGTTCAGTCGGCGTGCATACCTTCGCATTGGGACTCGGAGAAAAGCACTTAGGCTCATCTTATCTGATCGCCAATTGCTCTCTAGGTAAGTATATAGGAAAAAACAGAGATAAATGCAGTCTGTATTATGAAAACCCAAGCACGGGAACACTAATTGTTGTCCAGACAGATGATAACAACCCGAAATATTTTTCATCTGTCATTTTTAGTTTTGCAAGAGTAGTTGGTGAGCTTTTCATTTGGCCAGAGGGAGAGAGCGACATGTTGTATGGGTAACCTTATCAGGTCTGCACGTCCAACAATGTCCTAGATGCTTACATACTGCCCTTTTGATGTCACACAAAAACAAGAGAACAGTAGAACAGATGACACAGTTGCATGTTGGTGAGCGTATTACTATGTACGAAAGAATAATTTCTTTCGTTGTCCAGAACAGATATTACGTGTGCATGATTTTTATCGACAGGTCCTTTCCTAACTGTAATTCGATAAGACCAATTATATAGTCTAATCACATAGTAACTAGAAAATATTGTTGTGCTAATCGGCAAACCGTAGTAAGGCTGTATTTAAAGGCGCATAGAAAATATCATAGAGGNATATATGCAACTCACCACTGTATCCATCTGTGAAAATCATTTTTCTGCTAACCATTTCCGTCAACTCAATTGCGCGAAGCATTTGGACTACCATGGATACATCAAGCACAACCCACGGTTTCCTATTTTTATCCCAAGAACCGGTTGGGTCCGCAATTCCGTTTTTTGCCTGAGAAATGTTGATTTCATTACCACAAGTTGGTTTGGGGATAGCCATATGTGGGATGTGGTACTGTTCACATACATGCTCGATTTCCTGAGCCACAGAACATGTGGTCATGCTGATAATGGCTCTTACTCCGGCTGATATCAGGCTGCAAACTGAACAGAGATCGATGCAGAGAACGAGAGGTTATTGATGAGGGTGAAATAATGCAGACGCTGGAAACCAAAACAGTTTTGATAAACTAATGGCCATTGTAATTGCTTTCAATTTCCAAAATAACGCTATTCCTAATGTCGAGCTAACGTATGTCTCACCACCAAAGCCTTATCCAGTTGTTTCCTCTGGCTTGCACGGAATCATCAGCTGTACGTTATCATTGAACACGGGCATGATGGGTCGTAAATGTGACGTGTCAACTATTAGGACTATCCGTGCAAACCGTTAACACTACTCGCTCAACATTCAATGGTATAAAATTACCAGAACGTATCACACAGAAATAGACTCTGAAATCTACAACTTCCACAGATAGAGTAAGAGGTTTCTGAATTGGTGCTGGAGATTACTAATTAATCGAAAGTATCAGAATGTATCAGTAATCAGTAGGAAGCTTGTCTAGCTGGTTATTCTTATGCTTGTGTATTTTGAAGCCCTGAATATACCTTCGGCCAGTCAGTCACTTCCTCCATCAGTCAGTCAGTCAGTCAGTCAGTCAGTCAGTCAGTCAGTCAGTCAGTCAGTCCGTCAGTCAGTTAGTCGGGTCAGTCAGTCAGTCAGTCAGTCAGTCAGTCAGTCAGTCAGTCAGTCAGTCAGTCAGTCAGTCAGTCAGTCAGTCAGTCAGTCAGTCAGTCAGTCAGTCAGTCAGTGAATCAGTCAGTCAGTGCAGTGAGTCAGTCAGTCAGTCAGTCAGTCAGTCAGTCAGTCAGTCAGTCAGTCAGTCAGTAATCAGTCAGTCAGTCAGTCAGTCAGTCAGTCAGTCAGTCAGTCAGTCGTCCGTCAGTGAGTCAGTCAGTCAGTCAGTCAGTCAGTCAGTCAGTCAGTCAGTCAGTCAGTCAGTCAGTTTCAGTCAGTCATTCAGACAGTCAGTCAGTCAGTCAGTCAGTGAATCAGTCAGTCAGTCAATCAGTCAGTGTCAGTCAGTCAGTCGGTCAGCTGCAGTCAGTCAGACAGTGAGTCAGTCAGTCAGTCAGTCAGAGTCAGTCAGTCAGTCAGTCAGTCAGTCAGTCAGTCAGTCAGTCAGTCAGTCAGTCAGTTGGTCAGTCAGTTTGTTTGTCTGTCTGTCTACCTGACTGCCTTTTAGTCATTCAGTCCATTCGTTAATTATTCAGGCAGGCATGCAGATAGACAGTCAATAATTTAGTTAATAGTAGCTTCACATATAAAAGTGGGTGAGTTTTCAGCGTTTAACACCATGTCTGTAGAGTTGAAATTTTCATAATCGAGTACAAAGAAATTAACGTAAACCCGACCAGTTCTTCATCTAATAATGCAACCAGATTATTCTTTGCCAACTTTTACCTATTCAAGAAGCAGACGTGGACGATATCATATGATAGAATTATACTCCTCCGAGGAATCCACTGAAGCCTTTTGGGGGTTTGAACGCGTGGATGATGTACATACATCCTTCGAAAGTTCGCTACTTAATGAACAACGAGTGTCTGAGAGTGCTTTTGAACAAAACATTTTCACAAAGCATAAAGGTTTCTATCGAATAATGATGGTTACAAATGTGTCTCTAGTATGTCTATTACTTTCAGAAATGTGGTTTAGGACTGATCCCAGTATGGCAGTCTTTTTAAACAGACCAGGGGGCAGAAAAACCAAGGGAAATCTACGTATGCAACAAAAAACCTGGCAAACAACCTATGGGGAACAGATACTATTCTTAATCGGGGTGAGAAGTAAGGCGCACTTGCGGAAGGTCACCTACATTAATTTACATGAGCCGTGATGTTGTGTGTCATTCCTATTCAAATATACTTTAATATTGTTGCTGCTCGTATGGTTTTATGATTAGTAAAACGGGGGGAGGAACCTAATTCTGAGGGCTATTCGAATACGTCAGGCGTTGCGGCACACTGAATGGTCATTTGTTTGAACGGTCCAAATCGAATTCACAATCCCACTACTGTAGACACAACTGGTAGTTGAAAATCATATACCGTTGGTGTATCTTGTATCCAGCTTTGCTGTACAAGCACGAGCGCATATATTGCTCATCCAATCCGTGCACGCGTATGCACACATGTGCCCTGACTACCACGGCAATGAGATGTTCTACGGAAAGCCAAAAACGAATATGGTTGGTACTGTCGATCAATACTGGACATACTGGTTCCCTTAGAGTTGGGTTCGCACTTCAATCCAATTTTTAATCCAGTTTTGCGGGTAGTACACATAGGCTCACGTGCATGAACGCGCTTAGAGATTGGTCTACGAAATGATCTTTAAGATCATATGATGTTATATCTTTGCTTCTTCTGGAGTACGATCACCCCCCACCAGGTACAGATTGATCGACTAATAGTGTAGCTAAACTGTCAAATGGATTTGTCAAGTTGTCTTTGTCACAGAGGAAATAGGCTTGGATTGATTGAACTGCGACACTGTGCATAACCTGCAACAAGCACAAGGGACAGGTTTTTACGATTAGGGCAAGTTGGACAAATAACTTCACAACCAGAATGCTGCTGATAGCTGGCTGTGTGAAAGAAGCTCCTAAGTTGATGGATGTTCATTTAGCTGATAGCAATGCCGTAGCAAATATTATCGAACTGCCTGAGGTGAAACCCGTATTGAATTGTTGAAATAAGATGATAAATTTGCCAAACTTTCATTGTAAATGAATGATAAAATAAAATAAAATCTGTGAAAAAAGTCAAAGGGATTCCCTCAGTTTACACGCTTCATCGAAGCCTTGTCGTAGGGTGACAGTGTAGAAAAAAACTCGGCATAGTTTCTTATTATGACAAAAACAAGTTTGGCGTTGACATTGTGAGTCGGCGACGTTCGTTTTGATGATGGACTGTATAGTGGCCCGTGCAAACGATGTTCAATTCTAAACATATGAATTTGTTACAGACCACCCCTGAGGATGAATATAACGCGAAAGCAGTTTATTATGACACCCACGAGCTGAAAGAACCACTTTTAATCTAATCTTAGTATAACTGTTTCACAATCAAATGCTTTCCAGAGAAAAAGCATAGGGTGTAAAACCTGGGTATGCAATAACAATCCATGCTTGAAACGAACTATTGATGGAACGTGTTGCTCACAGTCACCAACGAAAAACAACTATTCCAAAAGATAATCCCGTAATTTCTCGGCAACTTAAACAAACAGATTGATCAAATCTGATATGGTGATACAACTATGTACCGCATAAATTAGACTTGCACCTCGCAGGATACCAGAAGCAAGCGGACAAGTAGAAACCGTTTGAGGCCCATGAATCGCCCTTAAGCTACGAATTGGTGGTGCTTAAAAATTGCAATCGTTTGGATAACAATACAATTTTGGTGAACAACAATTCGAGAGATAATGGTTAGTCCCAATACCAAAATCATTGTTGTGGTTTAGTGACATCACGTTGACGATCATAACCCCAAAAGCTAAATGTAAAACGGCATCACATGTGGAACATGAAAGAGAGAAAGAGCTTCATTAATCTTTCGTCCTAGGGAGATCTCGTGATATTCCATGTTAGCTAGTTACTGAAACGGGTGTACATTCTAGGGGGACCTTATTTTCCGGATACCGCTTTGCAGACGGAAGTAACCTGACCGGTCTCCAAACGTCACAAAGTTTCCCACTTGTTGGATAATCACTGAAGATTATGGATAGCGAAACCTGAAAGGTGTTCATTCATTTCATGGGTAACACGGTGATTGACAGCGCAGCAGCTTTATTTTAATTTTACTCAAATGTTGGAGAACTATATCAGTACTGGAATGAACTTAAAATTAAGTCTTCCAACAATTTGCTCGTGAATATCTGATCATATTTGCATGAAAGAATAATAACACCTGTTATATGCACTATCAATTTAATGTAAACTTGGGTCGCTTATAACGTCCTAAATTGTTTTTATTTGTCGGTAGTCAGTTTCAGATACGCAGTCAATCCCCAAAAACCGAGTATAGTGTTGCGTGACGCTTAATTCCTTCAAAAAAATCCAAAACAAATATTTAGGAAATAAGTTACCTAACTGGTTCGACCAAGAACCAGCTGCCCGAACAATAGTGGAGGAGGAGAAATTCAGACTTAACTCGATAGTGGATCCCAAAGCCTCGATACTTTTAATCCCAGTCAGAGATTCATCAGGTTTAATTTAAAATATATATGTACACCATCGGACAATATGCATAAAAAGGGTACCAGTCCCATTGGGACCTTCATCTGAGGTCTATTTAGTAGAGTCGCTACTGTGATTGATGGTAATCGGCCCATCGAATCTGATTTATTTGCATGCAAATACCGAATGCAAACTGGTGCAGTCTCAGTATTTCGCTATTCGCGTAGAGAATTCATACACACCGACAAAACCCAAGAGAATCAATGAAAGGTGTTATTGTGGCTTAGTCCATATTGTAGTGTTCATCCTATTCGGTCGAAGCATATTTCATTGCAATTGGAATTTCATTTTTCGTGATGACATTGAACACATTCTTGTGCATGCAAATCCGTGATACATATTCCTACGAAAAGCATACTACTGAAATATAAAACTGAATTTGTCTAATCATCCCAATAGAACATATTTCAAACAAAGAACACAGTGACGCACAAGCTCGTGTTGTGAGATCGATCTTTTCACATAACGGATATTCGGAACTTCTAGTCAACGAAATGATTCAGTGCACGGAGAACATTTTATTAGACAAGAAACTTCAGAAAAAGTTCGTGTACATTTCTTTGCCGTTCAAAGGAATATATCAGCCAAAATTATACAATGAAGATCATCCAACGCCATCGATAAGAGTTTCTATGCATCCAAGCGCCGTGTGTCGTTCACATCCAGGCCAATTGTATGTTTTCGATTGAGGGACAAAGTTCCAAACTCTGCGTTCTCATTCTGTGTATACTCATTTATGTGTTGCTGTGGAACTATGTGCGTAGGTGATTGTTTCAACGGAGCTGTGAACACCATGCGGCACGGCTAAACACCAGGACGATTAATTCACTACGTAATGCAGTGGTTTCACACCTAGCTCAAACAAATAACACCATGGACGTGACCGAGACTCTCCTCCCTCTGTGTATAGTCCTTGGGTGATCATCGAGACAGGTTCGCCGTAGGATTCTGGCGACAACAAAATGCACTTGCACAACCCCAATTTTTGCATCTAAATATAATTTCTGCATGTGCTAAAGATTCCCTAGTTCAACTCACACAGTGATCGGATGATTAAACAAATCCAATCTTAAGGTGAAATTTTTTCTAGTAATCTGTGATGTTATTTGATTTGATTCTCGTAAGACTATTTCATTCCCAATTAGTGACATATACATGTATTGTGATGTATTGACATGGGTACGAATCACTGTTCTGTTTGAAATTTGTTTCTCATTACCGTTAACCAAATATTTCTCGAAACTGCTTCATCGCTGTGTTTAGTCACACCACTGGTGAGCTTGATATGAAGCGTCGCTGAAAACACGCAAAAAAAACAAAGACAAACAAACTCTCACTACACAACTTACCCTCGCTGTTAGAGAAACTGCGAATCACAAACGTGATATTCGGGATCAGCTCGCATTCTTTCGGTGTCAACGAAACACAGGAGTCATGCAAAATATCCTCGCGCATACTGTCGAACATTTCGACCAAATCAAAACCACTGGACTCCATTTGTGAATCAACTATTACACCTGAGTGTGTGTAAAATTCGAGATTGAAGGGATAGAATACAAGCTATTTGATGAGGCCTGCTACCAACAAGTTTGATTCATCATCATCATAACCATCATCATCATCATCATTGTACAGCGTATTACAGTGAAGCGAACTTCCATGATCGTTGCCAAATTCATAATGCATACGAGATAAGTGAGAATGTGTAAGGACAGGAAATGGGCCTATATTTAGGGACAGGTAAATAAAGCGAACCTCTATGGTTAGCACACAGTACACAGCCCAGCTGTGCGTATATATTATTTCAAGCATTTTGGCCTGATAAGAAGGGACAGAAAGATAGCCACTGCTGTCGATTCGCGGCCCTGACCTTCAGAGTTTCCAACCATGCGGTTTCGGCATCTTTTGGACTCCAGCCCGGAAGACGAGAGACACCCCATCGCTCTGTGCATTTCTTTATGCCTCGTCTTCACATCATCTGCTGTCCTCCACGCCGTTTTCTCCAGCCTGCAACAGCCATTGTAATCAAAGCGCGCTGCTGTAGGCGACCGTCGGGCATAAGCAAAACGTGCCCTAATCAGCGGAGCCTATTGAGCAGATTTCGGTACGATAGAGGGCTCATGTTCGATGCATTCCCAAACATCCGACGACTTACTTCTAAGTTACTGACCCGTTCACTCCATCCCACTTGGACCAGACTACTTAACCATCGATTGTCGAACACGTTAAACGACGGGTGTCTTCTACCCGCAAATTCAAATTCTAACAACTGTAAAGTAGAACTGATCGAACGGTGGTGCACTATACACGACTTTTCAACCTTCGTCACACGTCACGTCGCCGCCATAGGTGTTTTAGTCCTGCGTACGCTGCTCGAGCCTTGGAATTGCGGGTGGTTATCTCGTTTGATGCAATACCGGCGTTGGTTACGCAGCTACCTTAGTAAGAGAAGCATTCGACTTCAGTTAATTACTGACCATCTAGTTTCAGAACAGAACTCGGTGACACCCAGTCTTGTAGCATTAATTTGAAGGTGCAAAGCACATGCCGAACGGAGCGACAGAACTTGCTAATCTGTCAAATGCTCTTTGTTTATCCTCCATACATTCAAACAAGCAAACGATGTCGTCAGCGTACTCCAAATCGTACAGCTTTTCTCCAGATGCCCATTCAATACCACTTAGTGTGTGCTCTAGTATTTCGTCTATGACGAAATTGAACAGGAATGGCGAAAGAGGNCACCCTTGACGAACACCACTGCTAGTTACGAACGACCTACTCAGCTCGCCATAGACCCTAAGCTACCAGAAGTATGTGAGTAGAGTGAATTCAGTATNGTGTTCTCCAGTATTTCGTCTATGACGAAATTGAACAGGAATGGCGAAAGAGGGCACACTTGACGAACACTGCTGCTAGTTACGAACGACCTACCCAGCTCACCGTAGACCCTTATGCTACCAGAGGTATGTGAGTCGAGTGAATTCAGTATGTTCCCGTACTTCTGCGACATTCCTTTGAGAAGGAGTGAACTCATAAGTTATTCACGATCAACTGAGTCGAAGGCTCCTTTTAGGTCAAGGAACACGATAACCATTGGTCGACGGTGCGTACGGGCGTAGCTCGAGGACTTGCACAGAGTGAAGATTTGATCGATACAACCGGTACCTGGTCGAAATCCTGCTTGTTGTTCACGGATGTTTGTCTCCCTAAACATACTCAGATACCGAAGTATGATGGAGGCTAGCAACTTGGTGACGGTTGGGATCAAAGGTATTTCACGGTGGTTTGCGCAGTCATTATGAGATCTCTTCTTAAAAATTGGAACGACCTTTAATTCGCTCCAGGATGATTGAATGTGCCCGTGCAACCAGATGTCATGCATTACATCAGTAATGGAGTCTACAAGGTCATCGCCCCTCATCTTGAAAATAGTGGGAGGAAGCCCGACCGGTCCTACTGCTTTCCCTCTCTTCAGGTCTTGTATGCAAGAACAAATTTCTGCAGCAGTAAGAGGTTCACATGTTACTGTCCACGGAGCCTCAGCTACACAGGAGATAGCTTGGTTAGCGCCTGACCAGCTGAACTGTTCGTTGAAGTATTCCGTCACCGGTCAAACCGTTGTTCCCTATTGTGAATAGCTTTTCCACTTTTGTCGCAGATTGTTTCACTAACTGTGTTTCCCGTATTGCCTATCAGTTGGAACAGTCTTGGACTAATCCCTGATGCAGCTTCGATTTTTATTTAACTAGTTATTGTTGTCTACCAGTTCTCACGGTCTCTTTTGAGGCTCTTCTTGAGTTGACGTTGCAGACGCCACCTACCCTTGCCTTGATCCCGGGTGGTTGGGATTTACCGCTTTTTCTCCAACAGTGCTACTGGCTCATCAGATATCCAATGCCTCGGTCGGGCTATGGCTTCATATCCACAAGTAACGTTCGCTGCATAGTGCATTTCTCGGTTAATTTGATCCCATTGTTCATCTACGTTACCACCGTGCGGCGCATTTATCTCTTGCCCTAGTTCTGATTCAAAACTGGCACAAACGGATGAGTCAGATAAGCGATGATCTGTCAATCGATTTTGGTGGGATTTTCTGAGACCAGTGAGTTGGAGATTGAACTGCATCAAAACTAACGCATGATCAGATTCAACGCAGATGGTCCAATAAGATCTGAAGTTTTGTACTCAACCACGCCAACGGTAGCTTACAGCTATGTGGTCGATCTGAGTTATCGTGCCAGTTGAATTTGAGCGCCACGTTGCTGTCCGTTGAGAGCTGTGTCGAAAGTTGGTGCTTGATAGGAGCAAGTCAAGTCAAATCAAGTAAATTAAAGCTTTCTGCACCCGATAGGATGAATTTTCAGCATTTTCGTTATGTTACAGTAGGGAAAAACGTTAAGTATCGGAAAAAATGAAATATACGTTTACTAAATGACAAGCAGACGAGTTTGCGTAAAATCCTAATGTGAGAGATGATTGTTCAAGTCAGCAATAATATTTGCTTGGTTGATCAAGATGTGAGCAAAATAAGGGATCATGCTGTTTTTGTGTGGTGGTGCGTGCATAAATAATCCGAAATCGAGAACAGGTACTCGGATGAGAGACCGATTTATTGAGATGGGAGTGCAGGCAGTGTTCTTCGTTGGACAGGATATGGCTGATAAATCGATCGCATGAGTCAAAATGCTTGCCCACAATAAAGTCAACCAAAACGGTCTTTGAAATGCCGATGCAACGAGAAAGAAGTTTAATAGATCTGGAAAAGAGAATAAAGTCTTTCTCCTTCAGAGCAGGAAAATATACGGGGGAACAGTACAACCAATGTGGAAGAATGCAAGCAGTCGAAAATCTAAGAATGACATTTGAGGGAAAGCCGAGTATTTTAAGCCTAAAGGCGTAGAATGATAGCTTACGAACCCGAATACAAATATTTTCAACATGTTTGGACCAAAAAAAAATTATGACAAAGTAACTCCAAGATATTTTACAGAGTTATCCTTGGGGATGGTATTNACAGAAAGTTCAGGCTGATTATTCAAAAGGGTTTTATATGGCATGCCTGTTTTAAGGCTAAAAGAAACACCCACACATCTATCTACATTTATCATTAAAGATCAAGGAGTCGACCACCTAAAATGTTATTGAAGTTGAGAGAAACAATCGGGAACAGTTGAGGGACAGCCGACCACCACGTCGTCAGCATACTTGCAGGCGATAAAGTTGGGAGGGATGGGAACGTCCTTAATATACAGTGAAAAAATGGAGACAAAATTGCACCCTGAAAAAGTCCAGAGTTAACTTCTAGCAGCGAGGAAGATTTACCGTCACAGAAAGTGTATTGCGTCCGATGAGTGAAGTAATTAATTAGTATATTCAGTAAATTAGGTGCCAGACCACAGTCCGAAAGACACTGAATGAGAATGTCGCGGTCAAGTGATCCGAAAGCATTTGCATAATCAAGAAAAGTTGAACGGACGATGCCGGCCCCTTTATCCAATA